TTGGTGAAGGCAACCCAAAAGAACCATGCACCATCGGGTCAAGTACATACCAAAATAGTTATGGACTTCGACACTAATCCAACAAAATGTTCTATCAATTTTTTGTTTTTTTAGTTTCTAGGTGATATTTATTATTTTGATTTATGTCATTTATCATATGGAAAAAACACGTGAAATATGGTTCAGTTGTAAAGCCACACCGAATGGAATTTCTATTGATTTACTTTGTGTAATTTTATAAAAAAAAAAAAAAAAAAAAACTAGTGCAAGTAATAAACTTTTCTTTAATATGGTGCAATTGGGGGTCATGTTTTTGATCCATGACCACTACTTCTACTACAAGACCGTCTTGATAGTATTGATATAGGTAAACTTGAATGGTACGACGAGCAAACCTCCTCAAATTGATGGAAAGTTTTTTGTAATAACAAACAGTGAAAAACAACCTTTGGGGTTCTATAATGAAATAAATATTTCCATTGAATTGACATGCTAGATAAGAAAATGAAAGTAAATTCTCATTTTTTGCATTTAGCCTAATCATGGGTTAAATGCTTTAAATAGCAATGTTGTTTCATTTGCTTATCTAATATCATATCTTAATTTAATTTATGTTTTTTTATTAATTTAATTTTGTTTTTAAGCATTGTAATTTGAAAGTAGAATGTTATAATTGTGTATGCATAAGTGTGACTGTCTTTGTTTTTTTGTGTATTGTAATTATGTAAATATATTTGACTGCGTGTAACTGTATGTGTATGAGTACATGGCTGTGTATGTGTCTCAATTTTATTAGTGAATTATTACACTGCTTTGGGTTGCCTTTTAGTTTTTATGTTTGATCTTTCATTCTGTTACTCTTTTGAGATAAAATATCTATAACATTGAATCTTAATACTAAAGTCAATATACCTACTATTCTACTAACTTGCCGGATAATCTAAATGTAAATCACTCATTAAATTAAACACATGAATAAGTTATTAAAAAAATCGTAAACATGTATCGGAAAATAGATGCATAAAGTAGAAGGTATATCCGAGCTAACCTCGTCAAGTTAGTATCTTAGTAACCAACGCAGGTAGACCTATCAATGGGCGGGTTTTGAACCTGATTCGCTCCAAACCCGTAAGAATTTTACGGGTTTGGATTTTAATTTTCGATTCGTTTACTCGTTTATGATTCATATCCGTTTACCCTTATAATAAATGGGTTGGGTATGGATCATTGTTGATCTGCTCCACTTATAACCCGTCCCATTTTATATATCTTGACTATCTTATAAAAGAAATCTCACTATTTCTATAAATAGATTTAATATAATAATAATTTTTTTTTAAAACGCTCAAATCTCTAAGCTTAAAGTACAACTAACCATCAATAAATTATCTTTCATGTTTTGTTTGAATTATATGAAATTGGGTTCAAGAATCTTTATGATATTAAAGCCAATTAGTAGGGTATTTATTTAAAAATTCTTATTTTAACAAAATTAACTAAAACTTAAATGAAAATGTTTCATTATAAAACACGACATGTAAAATGGGACAAAAAAAATATATTATTAATGATACAATATATGGTTAATCGATAGGATTTTGGTCTATTTTTTATGATTTGATTTAACTTACATTAATGAAACTTTATATTTTTAACAAGTACAATTAGTTACTTCTGACAGTATAAAAATAATTTATATAAATATTAATTAAGAATCAGTTCTTACAGATACTCAACATGTAAGGCTTCACACAAAATAAGAACCTTAATCGGTTCAGATTCCAATCAATTTTAAAATTTAGGAAATTGTCAGTTACAAACCTCTTTCTTATCCAAAGATAGATACATCGGGAAAAAAAAGCTATTAGTAAAAAAAAACCATTCAAAACTTGTACAATTTGTGCTTGCCGTATTGCATGAGATTAAAAATAGCAACTAAATATTTTTTTTAATTATTTAAGCTAAAACAGTAACATACATTATTTAACCTAAAACTAGTAAAACCTATTTGTTTTTAAACTAAAATAGCAACGTACTTTAACATTTAACATGTAATAGCAACATACTTTCATATTTAAAATATAATAACAACTTATTTTTATTTGTAAGCAAATTAACATAGTATTATATTTAAACCAAAAATACAATGTATTTTCCTTTTTAAGCTAACTTACCATCTTTAATCTTTATCTCGTAATAGCATATCAATAGAAAACTTATTGCCACTGAAAACAATTCGCCAAACGAAACTATTCGTTGAACAGAAAGTATTTGATTCCACCACAATACGTGTTCTTTGTAATAAACAATTTGTTTGGAAAGAAAAAAAATTCTGAAAAAAAAAACTATTTACCGTCCGCCAAAAGAAAACTATCCATCCAAATCTCCAAAAGAATCACGTGATTTCGAAATAAAAATTAAAGTCGCAAAGAAACTAATAACCGAAAAGAATTAATAACCGTCCGCTGCTTTGCGCGGGTATGCAACTACTATATATATATATATATATATATATATATATATATATATATATATATATATATATATATATATATATATATATATATATATAGGGTTAGGTTCATGTGAGACGGACTAATTTTGTGAGACCGTGAGACGCATTTTTTTATTTTTTTAGTTAATTCAAGTTCCAAAAATAATATTTGAAAATAGAAATTTTGGATTTTTCCATTTATTTTGCATTTTAAAATTATTTTTTAGAATATGCCAGTGTAATATTCTATTAGAATATTTCACGTATTTTAAAAAAAATGGAATTTATTTTTTTTTATATTTTTTTTTTAATTAATTCAAGTTCCGAAAATAATATTTAAAAAAAGAATTTTTAGATTTTTTCCATTTATTCTGCATTTTAAAATTATTTTTTAGAATATGTGAGTGTAATATTTTATTAGAATATTTCACTTATTTTTCAAAAAAAACGGATTTTTTTTTTATTTTTTATATTTTTTTATATTTTTTTTAGTTAATTCAAGTTCCGAAAATAATATTTAAATAAAGAATTTTTGAATTTTTCCATTTATTTTGCATTTTAAAATTATTTTTTTATGTGATATCACGGTGTCACAAAATTAGAATGGTCTCAAATGAACATGAACCTATATATATATATATATATATATATATATATATATATATATATATATATATATATATATATATATATATATATAGTTAATATACCCTTAAAGGTATATAAGCTTAGGTACCCTAATCAACCATAATACGTTATTTTGTTTGATATATTCATTATAATGTTCTTAAACTTCAACCACTAACTGAATTTACTTTCAACATTTCCAAAATTTCACTACTATTTTCCTCTTACATCACATATTTTTGTTGAACACTAATAGGCTATATATATTATAGTTGAAAATGAAAATTATGTAAGAGGACTATAAATGTGAAATTTATAAAAATCTTCGAAGTGAATCAAGTTAGAAGTTGAATTATAAGAACATTGAACCATTACAATGTATATATATGATACAAAACGACGTAGTATAGTGAGTTTGGGTACCTAAGCTTATATACCCTTAAGGGGATATTCACTTTTCCCTATATATATATATATATATATATATATATATATATATATATATATATATATATATATATATATATATATATATATATATATATATATATATATATATATATATATATATATATATATATATATGGTTTTCCTTTAGATTACAAACTTGAATGCAGCGACATAATTGTATATTTTAAATAAATTGTTTTACCTTTTAAGATGAAGCATCACACACTTCTTCATGAATTGTTGGACAGTTTAGAATTGAGCTTTGATTAGAAAATTGGTTCAAGTGAAATCGATTTTTATGCTCGAGAGCTCTACATAAAGATACACATAATACAAAACTTTTTCAACAAGGCAGTAGACTAAAGCGAGATTTTAAATATAGGTGTAGTAGCTGGTATAGAAACCAAATTGAATTATGTCCCTAAATTGAGATTTTACAAAAAAAGTTTTGTTTCAACTTGGTTATTTAGCAGTTTTGAGTCACATGTTTCAATTGAATTTTTTACAAACCCAGCCGGTTCAATCTAAATCAAAAATAGGAAAAAACCGGTTGATGATTGACTCGTTTTTTTCATCGGGTCACACTCAAACAATTTGACCGGTCGATATAACCGGTCGGGTTGATCCTTGTTTTAATCATTAATTAAATGTATAGGATATGCACGAGACAATTTTTATATTTATGCTTAGTATCTGTGTTGTCGATTTCTAAAACGTGATTTAGTTGTTTATTGGATTAGATTTATTTATTCATTTTGGGTAGCAAGAAGATAATTTTTTGTTTATGATCTTTTTAATTTCCATTTTAACGACTAAAAAATTATCACATGATTAAGAAAATATTCAGCCAATAATCCATAGTCTGTCAGAAAATGTCACAATAGAAGCTCTGTCGGTAAAAGCCACAACATAAGGTTCGTCGCTAATCATTGTGATTCGAAGGCTTCAATGGATTTAGTTAAGAAATCATTGTGACATATCCATGATTTATATCGAATGAGTAGATTTATACTTTAGTAATATACGTATATAATTATTAGGACATTCTAAATACACTCAAACTTTAGGACTATCAATATCGGAATTTTATTTTAAACTTTATTGTTTAAAATTATATCTGAAGGATATCTTATATAATGAATGCATCAAAATGTTATTTGATTCGTCTAAGCCTTTAGATATAAATAAGAACACATTTTGAAGCAATTTCTACTTGAAAAACTAACATACAGCACACTATATATTACAAATTAACCACAATATTAAAATATACCACAAAACATGCGATATTATTGTGAAGACGAATATTAAACATAACCAAACATGGTTACATGGCGTCTCTTTGGATGAATTTTATTTAACGTCACAACCAAAGGAAGTAAAATTAATTCCTTCTTTTGTTTTGTGTACGTATCTAACCATATACTGCTTACATGGTTGCAGAAAAAGGTATGAAGACAAAGTTATCGCTAGGAAAGAAGTGACAAACAGATGAAGTTCCTGGCTCGACACCAAGCACGCTAAAGGATGGATGCTTACGACTCCACTGAGACGTATCCATGTGGCAAACACTCAGTGCCTCAACCACATCACCATCTTCACCTTCTAATGAAACCATAAGCACCTTGTTCTCGCTCTCTTGGCTATGGCAATAAAACACAGCATATGGGTATGGCATGGTGTGACAAGCTACTAACTTTGGAGATGGTATGTTTTGTGAGATTTCAACCACTTTATAGTTTTGCAAAAGTCCAACTGATGAGTGTTTAAGGTGGGTTGTTGCCAAAGTTTTGACACGAGTGTCAAATCCAAAGATTTTACTTGTGAAGTCGTAGACCGATTCTAATGAGGTTGCACAAAACTTGGTCTCACCCTTAATGGGCTTGACCTCACATTCTTTGAGGGTGTTTTCCATGGCTATGGCTTGTGGAGAGCCATGTGAGATTGAGAACAAGTGAAGGAGGTTTGGGAATTCTTCAAGAGAAAAAGGGATGTTATCGGCTTCGGCTTTAGAAAGGATTTGAGATGGGGAAAGGTGTCTGTTTGGGAAGTAAATAGGCATCACTTCGCCTACTTTTAAGTTATTTATCATGAAGAAAACCATTAATTGAGGGTCTTTATGATTTGTAGATGGTGACGAGGATGATGAATGTTGATGATCAAGACCATGACCATGATCTTGATGCGTATGGTCATGATGATGGAGCTCTTTAGTGTCATCCTCCGTTTTATTAAGTATTAAGACATTAGCTTCTGTAGCGCTATCTCCTATCACATGCTGTTGCAAATTGAAGTTGTAAAATAAGTTAGATTTGACCTTAATAACAATTATGTGTGTGACAAAGTAAGAAAAAGAGGAACTACCTGAACAAGAAGAAGATGAAAGAAAAGAACCCAAGATGCAAATCCAAAAGCCATGACTTGTTCTATGAAGATGCGTGCTTTCTCTTGTAGGTTGTATGTTTACAAATTTTATCCCAAACTATTAAACAAACACAAACACACACACACACACACACACATATATATATATATATATATATATATATATATATATATATATATATATATATATATATATATATATATATATATATATATATATATATATACTAGCCGTTTACCCGCACCAAGCGACGGGTGTGACAATGGTAGTTGAATGCTGAAAGATGAATTAAACCCTATAAATGGAAACGTCAGCGATATATATATCCAAGATTTGTGAACTGAAATTGCGAGATTTGAGGAAATACGGAGATAAGGAATGAACCGGGTCAAAATAGCCTAAGAATAAGGGATAAGAGATTTGACATTTCCAACTGTTGACCTTATGTACTTTACTTTTTTTGTAATGCATAAATTGATTGTACAAATGCATTGTATGTTTGTACAACTTAAAATTCAGCATTTCCAAAAATGCTTTATTAGATAATATATATATATATATATATATATATATATATATATATATATATATATATATATATATATATATATATATATATATATATAATTGGTCAAATCGTATTGATATACATTTACTCACACAGGAGACAAACAATTGGAAATTGGAATACATATAAAATTAGCCAAAACTAAACATTGTTACATAAGCTAATAACAATAATATAAAATCTACCTGCATAAAGTGGTATTTAAGTGGTGCCACCTAACGAAATAATGATTCGGGTTACGATGATTCATGTTTTAGTCCAAAAATATCAGTAGATTAATTTAAAAGGTTTGATAATACCTTGAAATTATTATTTTTTTCTCAATCAACAATGTGTTACATCCTTGCCTATTTGACAGAAAAGGATACTTGGAAAGGGATATCTTTCATGAGATTTTTGATGATTATTTTATTCGTCGTCTATCATAATTTGAATAAATAAATAATATAAGTTATTGATCTTTTGGAACAAAAAAAAGTCATATCAGAGTGATAGGTCCCTAACAGCCATCTCTTAACATTGGAAATTCAAGCTTAATTTAAAACAAAACATGACTGCGTGTTATTTTGGAAGCGTCGAACATGTACATAAGAACAACAATAATGAACTTAGTACATGTTCCATATATTTTTCTTAATTCTTATACGATAAATGCTGTACATAATTTTACTGAAGAAAAAGTCACAAAAGGTACGTTATTTCATACGAGTATTTATTAAATTAAGAGTTATTAAAATCGTTCTCCTAGTTTGATTAAAATTGCATGTTTGTTTCTAACGTGTTTTTTTGCACTCGAACTATCTTTATACTATAATTTTATTTCGTTTATAGTCTCTAAAAGTCGTAAAATACTATATTACCCTTTATATTTTCTTTTTCAATTTTTTGTATTATTAATTTAACATAAATTAATGTAATAACTCTAAATTATCATCACACACTCACAAGCAACACCACTGCCATAGACCACCGCTATTGCAATCAACCAAACGCTGTCATCAGCCACCATATCACCAACTACCACTACCTTTGTCATGAATTACCATCAACACCAATCATATTCTTTTCTCTTGTCACATAGCCTCAAATTTGGTCTCTCAGGTGTTAAGGTGGTGGGATATCCCGATCCCGATTCTTATGTCCTATACGGAATGGTTGTCCTGGTTTGATGCTTTACGAATAAGGAAGCATGCTAAGGAGGTCCTAAAGGTGTTTTTTGGTGACTTGATGGTATATTTGACATTTTCGGAATGATTTGTTGTTTGGCAGACATAGCCAAAAGAAATCTACTTTGTTTGATTCCATTGTTTCTCAGTCGTTTTTTTTTGGTGTAGTAATATACGTAGGACCTCGATTAATTGGGGAAGACGGCTGCAAAACCCTATGGATGCTATTTTGTAATTGTTCTTTTTTTTTCTAGCTTTTTGCTAGTTTTATCGAATCTTTTGCCGTTAAAAAAAAACAGACACCAACAAAACCTACATGTTCTCAAAATCCCCCAACCCTTTATTCTTCAAATCCCTAAAAAACGTACATTGATTGAAAGCCTCAAACAATCTATTCTCTAAATCCAAATCTGGTATATAGGGCATGAATGACAAAGTATAGAATGGCGTTAGTGAAAAATGGTTTTTTCAATGGGGGTTATGCTAGGAGAAGGTGTAGTGATAGGTGGAATCGAAAGCAATAGTCATAACCAGCAGAGTAGAGAGCGTTTGTTGCAATGTTTTCTGGCTAGATGAAAGGATACCGTCAAAGAGAGAGGGTATGGTGGAGTAGAGAATGGTGACATCGTTTTTTAGGGGAAGGGATATGGAAACAGATTGTAGAAATAGAGGCGATATAGTTGTTTCGAGGATGGTTAGTTAAGGTCCAATGGTTTCCGACGGAGGAAACGAAGGAGGTAGAGGTGGAGCAAACCTAACTAAAGAAGATTAAGGGATAGAGAGGTTTCTGTTGGCGGTGGAGCAAAACCGGTGGAGAAACAACCAAGTTGTTGGTTGTGGTGGGAGGTGGGTGGGGCCAATGAACTCCTTGTGATTTATAAATAATAATAAAAATAAATAACTGAAAAAGAAATTCATAAAGGTATTATAGTCATATCGGGAGAAAGACTAAAAATACAACAAATTCATACTACAAGGACGTCCGAGTGCAATAAAAAGGTATAAGGATGAAATGCATAATTTTAACCAAAATACATAGATGGATTCAATAATTTACTCATAAAATAACCAACCATTTTTCTTATATATGAAAACTGTCTCTTGTTTCACAATACCTGGATGCGGTTTTTGATGCAAAATGTATTTTTTAACATGTCCAAATTTTATTAATAAAAATGACTACCCATATTCTCGAGTTTAACAAAAGAACAGAAGAGAAAAGAAAAGAAATTCCCGAGAGAAAAGAAGAGAAAGGAAAGGAAAACAAAATTTTCTTTTGTGTTCCTGAGTTGGAGAGAAGTGGAAGGAAAAAGAATCATTTTGTTCTTTCTTTTCAAATCCTCCCAAATCGGAAGGAAAGTTAGGAGGGAAAGTGATCCTCCCATTTCCCTCCACTTCCCTCCTTTAATGAAATTCGGGAACACCTATTTCACTTATTTTCTTCTCATTTCCACCTATTTCCTTTCCTTTCTCTCGTTAAGTTGAACTCGGGAACCGAGCTATACAAACAAACGAGCGAAATACATCATTGAGCATTTACAATAGAAGAGTTTTTTCATATAGTTTTTTGGTGTCAAATTATTGTTAAATCATAAACAACAACAATTCTATAAACAACCACTAAGAAAAGCTTTTTCAAATATTTTTTGAGGTCGCGCACTCCATAAATATCAATCAAAGACAAAAATATATAAATATTTAATATATATATATATATATATATATATATATATATATATATATATATATATATATATATGAATATAAAAATATGATTTTGTGAAAAAATTACCATAAAGCTTGTTAATTAGTAATGTCTTTCAAAAAATTTGGTTCTGAAAAAAATCTCTATGGCTTATTAAAATGTTAGACACATTGTTGTAGAAATCAATCTTGCCGGCCAATTATCAAAGATTCACTGTTTCACAGTCTGCAATCGATTACGATTAGGGGTGTTTGGTGGAAATTGATTAATATCGGTCAAATTCGGGCTTGGTGGTCATTAGCAGTCCTTAATGCTAATGGACGGAAAATTTTAAAAAGAATTCAAATTATCAAATTTTTAGATATTACAACAAAATTTTAAATTTTCAAATATTCAAATATTCAAATATTATAATAAAGATATCAAAATGTTAAAATTTTAAATTTTCAAATAATATATTGAGTTTTTAAATAGTTTTATTAATAATTTATGGTCACCAATTAATCATCTTGTAGATTAATAAACTATTAATTATTAATGAAACTATTTAAAAACTCAATACAAAAACTGAATGCATAAAAATGTTGCATAAAAGGGCATCATACCTTCATGTGGAGTCACCAAAGAGAAGAACATTTGGAAAACGCCGAATCATCCAAGAAAACGTCATAATCAATGTGTCGAAACAATGTTTACTAACTTTGAAAATAGGCAACCTATATGCATTATTTATTTGTTGAAAAAAAGTCATCAAATGTATCTGTTGGATCTTCCACCATCGAATATTTTTATTATATGTCATTAGCCATAGAACTACCCATGAAAAATGCTCCAAATCTGTAACGCCCCGATTCTCAGGTATCAATTTTACATAAGAATTTTCTTGATTTCAAGGTCTACTCGATGAGTTGGTTGCTCTACTCATCGAGTAGCAGCAGGTTGGTCCGCATGTTTTAAGTGACCTACTCACCGAGTCCAAGAAGGGACTCGACGAGTAGGAGTTGGCAGATAAAACCCTGAATTCCGAGGTATTGCACCTTATTTAAAGGATCATTGGCCTCCTCAGCCTCCCCTTACAGCCTCTTGATAATCTATAAACCCTAATTCGTGTGAGTGTACCCCATTTGTGTATTTTTAAGCTTTGGAAGAGGATTTTTGGAGAGAAGAGCTTGGAGAGCAAGTATCTAGAAGCAAGGAACGTGTGGGATCTGAAATCTATCTTAGTTGGCATCCTTTG